ATCCCACCCAACCCCCCCCCACCCAGTAACTCCAACCCAGGTGACCACAAATCCAGCAGCTCTGACGTCAGATCTGTAAGTTTATTTGCTCAATGTACGACGGCTACATAATGACTCACATTCATGATAATTCCATCACTGAGGAAAAAACCTGCTAAGAATGGTCCGTGTGTGAAAGAATCCCTTACAGGAACACGGAGAGTTTGGGAACAAAAAAGAAAAGAAAAGAAAAAGAAAAAGAAAAAGAAGAAGAATCACTGATCAGACCTTAAAAATAGTTCACTGCATATAACATGACAAAAAGCACAAACAAAGGCTCATTCAAAGAACACAGTCATTGTTCTCCTACACTGTAATAGTTATAATTTCACCATGACGAACACCAGACATTAAGATTAAGCTAACACTGGTGTTTTCTTTTGCTTTTTTTTTTTTTTTTTTTTTTTTATTTCATTTTTCCTTTTTTAACCCCCCCCCCCCCCCCCCAAATCATATAGAATTGCATGTCACTATAGCAACATCCATTAACAGATCAGTTTGTTACGATCACTATTTGGTAGAGCAAAAACTTTTAACTCCCCTTCCCCCTCCCCCCCATCCCCAAGAAAGGAAAATAAGTCAAAAGGGAAAAAAAAAAAAAAAAGGAAAAAATAAATTAAAAACCTTTAAAAAAAATCTTTTGAAGACTATTTTGTCATAGGAATACGTAACATCTACAGTATAAGTTAATAAATTTCAAGCTACTGTATAGAAATACGACACTAGCATGCACAATATTGTATCAATAGAGTAATGGAGCAGTAATCATTTCACTGGAGAGACAGTATCATAGGCAAGTGCATCTCTTAAAAAAACCAAAGAAACCATTCAAGCTGCTTAAAAATCCAAGTCCCTGACCCTCACTCTGTTTTTAGCCCTCTTGTGCCATCTCTCCTGCAGGAGTTTCCTAAAGCAGCCAGAGCAAAAGCTGAGAAAGACAAAAAGAAAGAAAAAAGAAAGACCAAAAAAAAAAAAAGAGATAGGTTTTGTAATTCCAGTAAATCACTTCCAAATGATACAGCTGGGACAACACTGCTCATGGGACAGGAGGGTGAGTCAAGGGTAAGAAGCCTAAAGGGATCTTCCAGTCCATGGCACGTCCTGGCAGCATCTGGCTGTGGTTTTTGGGCCACCCAAAACCCACCAGGGAAGGCTCTGCATGCCAAGGCAGCCCGGGCACAAAATCCAGCTTTGCCAGCATCACCTGGGTGACACCTGGAGGCCAAACACTGACCTCAGCTCCACCGAGTGCCCGAGGATCAGGGTACAGATGTGTCAGCAACAGCAGCAACAGGAGCAGGATGTGCCGACTCCCAAAAGGGACAGGGAAAAGCCTGTGTTCAAACCAAAAATCAAGAGGAA